CGCTTGGCGGATCAAGAAACGCCGTTCAAGCCCCGCTAAGAAGGATTGCCAAGGAAGTAGCAAACTGGAGGGTAGGCCGACCCATTCTGCAACGGCGAAGACCGGCTGACGCGGAAGGGCGTTAAAGGCTTTTACCACGTCTGTGGAAAAACCCGCCAACGGTAGGTCGTGCTGGCAGGCAAGCTCAATTTGAGCCTCCAAAACCCACCAAAATTGCGAGGCCTCTCTGTGTGGCATGAAACCCAATGCAGTGGTGGGCAAAAGGCGGACCAGCCATCGCAACACCTGTCGGGCACGAATGCCGCTCCAAGCACGATAAGCGCAGCTGAGAAGACAAATGGGCCGGAATCCTTGAGGGTCTTGGCGATCATTGGGCTTTTTCAAGCAACAAACCAGACCAAGCAGCCATTGGGATGGCCACTCGCGGCGGCCGGACTCAATATCCTGGAACAGCTGCAACAGTTGCTGGGCATGAGTGTCCGACATATGAAGCAAATCCAAACGGGCCAGACCATCCGCGCCGCGGGCGGCACGAGGTTTAAAGCGCTTAATGGCCGCGCGCCACTGGGGCAAGTCGATCGGCGGGAGGTCCAAATGGGAACGAGGAAGAAAAGCCTGGGCGAAGGCCGTTACGCGGGACCAATCTACCGCGGCTGGGTCAGAGAAGCGGTGCCAGAAGGAAGACCAAAGTTTTTCAAACTCATGCTGTACATCACTAGCGGAGGAGAGCAAAAGAATCTGCTCAAGCTCGCTATCAACATTAACTTCAGAGCAACCGGGGATTTTGCAAAGATCCCCCGAAACAGAGTCCACCTGCACGCTGCAACCGTCAAGTTGCCATTGGCAGCAACCGCGGGTATCGATCTTGGAGTCCAGGTGCACGTGACCGGTGGAGGGCTCAACAGCTAAAATGCTGTACTGATGGCGCAGCTCAATCGTATCAACCTGTTCAGGCTTGGGGTCACGGAGGTCACGGAACAGGAGATTACGGTTTGCCGCGTATTGCTCGGCCAAAATGGCACGGCGTTGCCGAATGTTCCAAGCTTCGAACTTACGATAATTATCACGGAAATCCAAGAAAAGTCGATGGCAGACCACCGCATCGGGGAGCCAGGAAGGCAGCAGCTCAGGAGAGCCGGCAAGTCGAACCGGACGTTGAGGCCACCACGCGGCAAATGTTGGGTGAAAGCCTTTTGCAGTAACGATTGAACGCCACAAACCCAAGCGGTGTTCAAGGGCACTGGGAGAGGAGTTACCTGCCTGCAAAGCATGGTCCAAAGACTGCAGTCGGCGGAGCTGTTGGAACCAACGCTTAACCTCCAAGGACAGGAGGTCGTGGTAGGCCGATTCTTCACCGGGCCGAGCCGGTTTTGGAGGATTCACCTGAGCTGCTTGGTCTGGAGAGAGTCTCTGGGCTCGACCGTGGCATCTGTGTGGTAGCTGACCACCAGGAGAGTCAGTCACAAACCCATCCAGGCTTCGCTCAAAGCCGCGAGCAAAGGCTTGTAGCCACCGCGTGGAACTGAGCTCATCAATGGGAATCGGGCGGCAGGCTTGTTGCCACTCAGAAATGGACACAGACTGCCAGGGAACCTCAGAGGGGAGAGGCCAGGACATAGGGCGGTGGACCCCAGTCAACCGCATCCCGGCGATTACAGTTGAGTGCTCGGCAAAGACATTGACAACATGAACTGCCTGGCAAAGGGCTGCAGCCTCAGGGCTAAGGAAAATGAAATCGCGGTTAGTCGAGCCCTTGCATGTGGGGACAATAGCCTGCTGCCAACGGTGGGCTGCTAGGTCTTGGGCTTCGATCCAGCCTTGCTGCTTCCATATCTGGACTTGTTCCAGATCTTCGTGCCAATGATTAAAGTCCCCGGAGATCATTCGAACGCCTTTGCGGCCAAGGACAAGCTCATGTGTCAAGGTCTCAAGGAG